TTGATAGACAAGTGAAATTTACAATAGACTTGATACTCAGAGCTACACCAATGTCCAAGGCTCCATACCGTGTAGAACCAAAAGAATTACAGGAGTTAAAAATGCAGTTGGACGAACTTCTAAATAAAGGTTTTATCAGACCAAGCATGTTTCCATGGGGAGCTCCGGTACTTTTAGTGAAAAAGAAAGATTGAACCATGAGAATGTGTATTGACTATTGAGAGTAGAGCAAGCTGACTGTCAAGAATAAGTATCTTCTCCCAAGAATTGAAGATTTATTTAATCAATTGAATGGTGCAACCACATTCTCAAAGATTGATTTGAGGTTAAGCTATCATCAACTAAATATCAAGCCAAGTAACATACCTAAAACAACATTTAGAACTCGCCATGGACATTACGAGTTTACAATTATGCCATTTGGACTTACTGATGCCCCTGCAGTATTTATGGATCTGATGAATAGAATATTTCATCAGTATCTGGACAAATTTGTTATTGTGCTTATTGATGATATGCTAGTGTATTCAAGAGATTCTCAACAGCATGAAAGCCATTTGAGAAACTTTACTTAAAGAAAAATTGTATGTTAAATTCAAAAAGTGTGAATTTTGGCTATAACAAATAGGATTTTTGGGACACATTGTGACAACAAATGGTATAGAAGTAGACTCGAGTAAGGTTGAAGCTGTTACTAATTGGCAAAGACTTGCGAATGTTGGAGACATAAGGAGCTTCCTAGGTTCGGCTAGACACTATCGATGATTTATAGAAGGCTTCTCTAAGATGGCGGGTTCCTTGAGACAACTAACTCGAAAGGGTGTGAAGATTGTATGGACTGAAATGTGTGAATAGAGCTTCCAAGAATTGAATAGATTAGTAATCGCTGCAATTCTTGAGGAATCGAAGGGATTTGTAGTCTATAATGATACATCCAAGCTAGGTTTGGGTTGTGTTTTGATGCAATATGGAAGGGTGATAGCCTATGCATCAAGACAATTAAAGTGTATGAGAAAAATTATCCGACGTAGGATATAGAACTTGTAGCAGTAGTCTACGCTTTTATGATTTGGTGTCATTACTTGTATGGAAGCTAGTGTGAAATTTACAGTGACCATAAGAGCCTCAAGTACTTCTTTACCCAGAAGGAATTAAACATGAGACAACAATGATGGTTAGAGTTAGTTAAAGATTATGATTGTACCATCCATTACCATTCAGGTAAAGCTAATGTAATAGCAGATGCATTGAGTAAGAAGAACCTGGGTTATTTATCAGCAATTTGTATACAACAAAATCAGTTAATCAAGGACGTTGAAAATCTGAGAATAGAAGTACTAACACTACCAACTCGAGCATCATTCAAGTTGACAATTTTAGTTCTAAAATCAACCATCAGGGACAAGATTATAGTGGCTTAAAAAGATGACCCTTTCTTGGAAAAGATAAGGGCCGATGTTGGAACTGAGAAAGTGAAGAGATTTGAGATAAGCAGTGATAAGACACTTATTTTTAAAGGCCGACCGTGTGTACCTGAGGATGAAGAAATAAAAACTGAGATTATGACTGAGGCTAATTCCACTTCTTACACCACACACCCGGGTTCCACAAAGATGTGCAGAGACTTACGTAATACTTTTTGGTGGAGGAATAGCTTTATTCGTGTCGAAGTGTATAGTTTGTCAGCAAGTGAAAGCAGAGCATCATAGACTATCAGGGCTATTAAATCCAATGGACATACTCGAATGGAAATAGGAGAAGATCTCGATCGATTTTGTAGTAGGCCTTCCTAGGTTGGCAAAAGGTCACGATACCATTTGGGTCATGGTAGACTGACTTACAAAATCTACCCATTTTCTATCTCTCCATATGACTTTTAAGTCTGGAACAGTTTGCACAATTTTATGTCGAAGAAATTGTTGGACTTCATGGAGTACCAATATCCATTTTGTAAGACAGAGACCCCATATTCAATTCAAAATTTTGGAGGAGTCTTCAGACATCTATGGAAACTAAGCTATCTTTCAGTACAACATATCATCCTCAGACCGATGGACAGTCAGAACGAACTATCCAAGTATTAGAAGATATTTTGAAGGCATATATACTAGATTTGGATAGTAAATGGGAGAACCATTTGTCGTTGTGGAGTTTGCATACAATAATAGTTTTCAAACTACTATCGGCATGGTACCATACAAGGCATTGTATGGCCAAAGATGTCGTTTACCAATATGTTGGGATGAGGGTTGGTGAGAGGAGAATCCTAGGTCCAGAACTTATTGAGAATATTGTGGAGGCTATAGATAAGATCAGAGAATGAAGATTAAGATAGCTCAAGATCTCTAAAAGAGTTACGCAGGTAAGAGAAGAAAAGAACTTGAATTTGAGGTGGGAGAAAAAGTATTTCTCAAGGTCGCCTCGACAAAAGGGATACTACGATTTGGAAAGAAAGGAAAGTTTAAACCAAGATTTATCGGCCCTTTTGAGATCCTCAAGAAGGTTTGAAATGTAGCATATCATTTGGGACTGCCACTTGAGTTATCAGTAATGCATGATGTATTTCATAATTCTATGTTGAGAAAGTACAAACACGATCCAAGTCACCTGGTTAATGCTCAATCGTTGGATGTACAGAGTGATATGAATTATGAAGAAGACTTGTAATGGTTTTAGAGAGGAAGGAATGCATTTTGAGAAATCGGGAAGTACCACGAGTCAAAGTCCAATGGAGTAGACAAGGGAAATATGAGGTTACATGGGAGAGAGAAGCAGATGTTTTGGCCAAGTATCCAGACCTCTTTAATTGAGTAAATTAAATTTCGAGGACGAAATTATTTTTATGGGAGAGGATTGTAGCAACCGAAAATAAAAAAGTTTCATAAATTTCATCTTGACATTCTTTATTAATTTGAGTTACCGAGGGACTAATTTAAAAATAAATCTTGTGTTAAAAATTTTAGCTTTCGGTCAAATAATCAAGTATTCTTCTAGCAAGAAACTTCATACTAATATTGGGCTTGTTTCGAAGCTCACAATAAATGTCGAACTTTGTATTCGAGAAAAAGTCATTTTGAATAAGTTAGGCCCATGATATTGATGTTCTAAGAATCCACATATTTAATTAAAGTTAATTAACGATTTAATTGTTATTTTTTTTGGGCAGCCACATGTGTCAAATAATTTCATCCTTTAATTTTTTCTATTTTTTCTTATTATTTTCTTGTGAGATCAGGATTTTTTTTTATAGTTAAAGGAGGGCGGTATCTCTGAGAATTTATTGATTTGCCCTCACTTGTGGCGGAGGAATACCTATTTACATGCGGAAAAATGAAAGCATTAAATGAGGAAGACTACTTTCCTTACAATAATTGAAAATTCTAAAGAAAATGTGTTAAGCGGTAAAAAAGGAAGTACTACTTCCCCTACAATAAGATTTGATGCAATTAAAGACAAAAAGAAAAAAACAACTAAAACTAAAACTTAAAATAGAATTACAATTCATATTCTGAAGTCGGACAGTCCATGTCTATCAATTTGCCCAAGTGTTTAAATATGACGTGGTAGGTCAGCTGATCCATACGTTTGATATCACCGGTGCTCCCAACCTGCTGAGGTAAGAGCGTCTGCAACCTGGTTTCCCTCTCTATAGATATAGGTAACTCTGTATCTATGAAAGGAGATGATGTCTGCAATCTTTTTGAGTATGCCTTGTATAGCCCATGGTCCTCCACCTTTGGTGATGCAATGAATGGCTGCACTGGAATCTGTCTCAACCCAAATGTTTAAAAATCCAAGACCTCTAGCCAGTAGTATCCTATCAAGAATAGCCTTAAGCTCAGCTTCTAATATCTTTCACTGTCCATATGATGTTGAAAATGCCCTTATGCATTTTCCCGTGTGGTCTCTTATGATGCCTCCTCCACTCGCAAAGTCATCCTTGGCACATCCGTTAATATTGACCTTTACAGATCCAACTAATGGAGTGTGCCACCAAACTATAATGAGGGAGGAGATGAATGGAGTGTCAAAGTAATCCCAAAGAGTGGAGCAAGCTGCATGTCGTTACGCCAGTGTAGTGGTCGAAATAATCCTCCATTGTGAAGGAATGAGACCATACGATATATCTTCCAAATGATTCGTCTTGATCTCATGCGGATACCCCTATGCTTTGCATCATTTCTCTCTATCCATAGGAACCAGAAAATTAGTAGAAGGATAATGATGCAAATGTGTCCACTCCAAGTAAGCTGTCTAGAGTAACGCCATCGCAGAAATCTTTGTCTGACGCTCTCGCCTACAATTATAGTAATCTGAAATAAGCATCCAAAGTGCTGCTAGACCCGATCTGATATATGCTACCAGCAAAAATATGGGTAATTGTCTCAATCTCTAAACAACACTGACATTGAGAAGCCAGCTGACTACCAACCCTCCTCTAAATAATAGTATCCACTGGAAATCCTGCCACAATTTTCAACAGAGGAATGAGACTTTGGTAGGTATGGTAGGGTTCCAAAGGAGACGAAATGAATCCTGTGATGGTTTGCTAGGACGAATTAATTGCCATGCTGACTTAGTGGTAAATCTACCATCTGATGTAGCCTTCCAAAAAATACGACCTGGGACATCGATACATAATGGCATGTCTGCAATCTGTTCTTCCATAATTGGTGGAACAGCCTATATTAATCGTCCAAAGTTCCATCCAGTCCCCTCAAAAAATTTCTGCACCCTCTCAGATGTGTGTTGCCCATGTGGGAGGATAGACGCCAAAGAATTATCTCCCATCCAATAATCATGCTAAAAGAAAATCTGACCACCCCCAAGTTGCCACGCAATGTGTGGTTCGATGCATTTTCCAAATCTCTTCAATCTCTTCCATATAGGATAGGTTGAATTAAGGATAGCTGCAAGTGATGGATGTATCTCTTTACAGTATTTACCCAATAAAAAATGAGCCCAAAGAGATTTCTAGGATCTAAATAACCACCATAACTTCATGGATAATGTGTCCACTTATCCTGTAGTCTTCTGAAACCTAATCCATCCTCGTCAATAGGATAGCAAAGCTCCTTCCACTTCCGCCAATGTAATCTCCGTGCATGATCCTTAGAGTCCCTTAGGAATCTTGCCAATATACTCTCCAACTTTTTCAGTACAACCTTAGGAGGTCATAGAATCTGAAAAAGATATATAGGAATGAAGAAGAGAACTGACCTCAGTAAAGTCATCCTATTACCAGGGAAAAGAAGTCTAGAAGCCCATCTAGAAATCCTACTCCTGATTTTCATAATGAGGCCGTCAAATAGAATACTCCTCTTAGCCCCTTTAGACATCGGCACTCTTAAATATGTAAATGACAGTCGTAGATGAGAAAATCCTGTCAAAATCACTAGCCTTCGAATCTGAATATCTGATGGCCGCCTGGGCAGTATAAGGACACTCTTCTCGTTAATCACCAATTGTCTAGACACTCCTTCATGATGTTCCAAGCATTCGATGACCCTTCCGATAGACTTCTTTTGACCATTAGCAAATATAATTATATTGTCAGCAAATACGAGATCAGAGACAAGATTAATACCTCCATGTCAATAATGCATACTAAGGTAAACATGAAACTTTTGAGTAAGTAGCTAAGAGAAGTAATCCCCAGCAATAATAAATAAGGAGGGGAAGATAGGGTCCCCCTGTCTAAGACCACATGAGGATGGGAAGAATCCATAAGGCTGCCCATTTAGAAGTACTGAAAATCGACACTTCGAAATATACCGTCTGATCTTATCAATCTACAACTGATCAAAACCAAACGCCTAAAATAGAATAAATGAATCCCTAGTCCATACAATCATATGCTTTAGCGGTATTAAGCTTTAACATAGAATTTCCTCCTCGAACTTTATTATTCAATGTATGTAGAAGCTCCTGAGTCAACAGAATATTGTCCCCAATATGATGACCAGGGACAAAACCACTCTACTGAGGAGAAATAATACGAGGTAGTAATGCGCTTAATCTAGTGTTCATCAACTTTGTGATAAGCTTGTTGAACACAGTGCATAGACTGATAGGTCAGTAATCCGTCCATCTAGAAGCATTAACCCTCTTCGGGAGCAACACAATAGACGTAGCAGCAAAACCTCGAGGTAAATGGCCACCCTCAAAGAAATCAATGATTACACTATACACATCATCCTGTATAATATCCCAACAATGTTGGTAGAACAAAGCTGAAAATCCATCTGAACCCGCGACACTATTAGTATCAACGCTAAAAATCACCTCCAGCACCTCATCAATAAAAGAAAGAAGGTTCAGTGCCATATTGTTTGCCTCTGTCAGTATCCTATGTATGATATCAGGACGGATGGACTCCACCGGCTATGAGGGAGCAGATAATAAATATTGGAAAAGTGAATGTCCGAGTTTTGAATGTCTGCTGGAGTAGAAAGATCTTTCCCTTCAAGAGTCGTGATAGTCTTGATCCGAGATCTAAGACGTCGTCTCTGTACCATCGCATGAAAATATCGGGTGTTGTGGTCTCCCTCACACACCCAATGAGATCTAGCCTTTTGCTTCCAAAAACCCTCATCAATAGCTAAGGTCTGATTCAAATTAGCATATGCATGATGAAGTAAATCGCGATGCTCCAATGTAGGGTCCCTCTCAAATTCAATCTCTACCTGATCAACCCTCATTTCAGCGTCCCTCACTCATTGAAATACATCACCGAATACTCGTTGATTCCACCACCGAAGCCCTTGTTCAACCTGAAGAACTTCTCCCAGAGAGCAGCCATTCTTGTAAGGTGAGTAGGAAATGACCATTTCTGAGATACAAAGGCTGAGAAATCATGATGCTTAGTCCAAACATTTAGGAATCGAAAAGGTCTAGGTCCTAAATCTTTATCAGAAACCCAGTGGAAAAGTAGCGATGAATGATCAGATGAAGTGTGATTGAGATGTGTTACAGTGAGCTGTTTGCAAAATTTAGCAGCTATAGAGTTTATCAAGACTCTATCCAATCTTTTACTGACTCTACCATTTGTCCAAGTGAACTAAGACCCAGTAAGATTGCCATCCTCTAAGCCACAATCCATCATCATATCAGAGAAGTCGCTAGAGCCACGATCTTGCCTACTATGACCAGTTCTCACTCATGTGCAATAATATTAAAGTCTCACCCAACAAGTCAAGGAGCATCCATGGAGAGAGAAATGTGGTGGAGACTCGCCCACAAATTTCTCCTAACTGAGGCCTCACAAGCTGCATATACATGTGTTAAATAAATAGGTCGTGATAATCTGGGATCCACAACTTTGACATGCAGGAACTGTATCTGATCACTAATAATAGTAATGATAGTACTCACATTCCAGAATATCCAAATTTTATTCGATTCATTATGTAACCCGGAGTTGAAGTGCAGGTAGCGACGAACAAAATCAAAACTCGTCTCCAAAACCATAAGCTCTAAGATGATCAAAATATAGATCTACGAGTAGCTATACTACACATCTCACATTCCCAAAGATGATACTCATCGAGATATGCATGAAGATGTATTCTGTGACCGACTTCTAGTCACCATCTTAGGAAGTGAAATGTTAGTGACTTTTGAATTTCTCTTTCGACCAACTGGGACAAAGCCATCTTTCTCTGTCCTGTGAACCATACCTGCCAAGTCATTAGAAGAAGATCTACGATACGGACCTTGTTGATGAACTTCAATATGAGATAAACCTTCTGAATACGATTGATCTGTAGTAAAAGACATCCCTATGTTCTGTTGACTGTGTATAGAGTTAACAAGCACATCGGGACCAATAGAATCCAGTTGCCTTTCTAACATATCCACAGGAGAGGATCAAAGTATGTAGGGTTACTGGTGATGGGAACCATAGACTGAATAACTGGAAAAATAACTGCTGTGACAACTGGCTGTCTCTGAGTAGCAATAGTAGTGAGAGCAACTAAGGTATGATCTGATGGAAAAGTAGCGGGAATCTGTGTGATAGTAGTTCTAATATTCGGTGGAGCAATATAAAGAGTGGGAGCCATATGTGGAGTAACTACCTGTGATGAAGTAGCTGTAGTGACAGATATACTGGGGGCAATAGAATGAACACTCTATATAGAATGATGAGTAGCAAACTGAGTACGCACACCTGATGTACTGTCCTGTCGCTTCTGATTTCTCTTAATTAGTGTCCATGTCGATCGAGGCTCAATCAAATTCTCCTTTTCCTTGCCCTTATCCTTGGTCGAAGTAGGCCTAGAAGTAGGATCAACAACAACTGGAGCAGTAAGAGGAGGTGCAGGATGTGAACCTTTGAGAGCAATTCTCATCGAAGTGACCAAAGTGTCTACATTGAAGGCAGAAATTCGATACTTTTTCATAAATCATCGGCCGCCAATATCCTCCCCTCTTCTCCCTCTCTATCCACACTCTATCTGGGAGTTAGCATTCTAAATCAACCTCAATACATACCCTCGCCTGACTAGGTCATCGAAGATCAGAAGTAGCTTCGTCAATATGAAGCGGAAGCCTAATAGCCTTAGCTATGGCAAACAGTGCACTCTTAGCTCGAAAATGAATAGGGAGTAAAGGAAATGTGACCCAGACAGAAATAATAGAAACTTCTTGTTGTGGGTTGAAATTGGGAGTCCATTTTATAATTCTCATAGGACAACCATCAATATACCAAGTGGGTTTGAGGAATAACCGTGAATAGTCATCCTCATGCGTCATATGGATAATAATGTGTATACCATCAATAAGTCTAATCTCATAATCACCAATAGAACCAAATTGCAAAAAATTCTCACGTACCTTAATCATCGACGGTTTGTGAAAAATAAATTTACCTACAAGTGTAAATCTGTAGGCTTCAGCCAGAAACTGCTCTTCTGATTCATAAAAAAAATAAAATAAAATAAAATAGCAGGTTCTTCTTGATGGATGTATTGTTCCTTAGAAACCAAATTGTGATCTCTATATTCTTGGGGAGCATGAAGTACAATAGCAAATGATTTCCTCTTACTCCTTTCAGCTTGAGGAATTGTCTGTCTATTATTGACAGCTGCAGCATAAGAACGTGGGCCCTGAATAGTACCCTGAGCACCCGAAGAGGTTGAAGGTAATCTAGATGATACCGCTACTATCAAAATTGCCTAAGGTAGGCTGAGCGTGGGGGCCACGTGTAGGTGATCTGATAGCGCGTGAGCCGACGGCCGGAGATGTACCAAGCCTGGACCCAGTAATTTGGCCCTGCTGAGGTTGATTCTATGGTATGTCTATATGAGATGAGGCTGCAAAATTTGTTTTGAACTCTGTGGAGGTGGTTCAAAATTGCCTGTGAGATTAGCCAAGCTATTGATCGGCGGCAAGTGTTCCGAAGGTGCATTGTAAGTAGTAGAATTCAATGGTGGTGGTGCCTTTCCATAGGTAACAACCAAATTATCAGAATTTGGATTTGAAGGGGGCTCTATCACCATGACTTGGGGATTGAAATTGGGGGTCAATTGTTCTTCATTTCTATCAATTGGATTGTTACCCATTCTCATATGACCTTTAATAACAGTTGTGTTGGTCGAATTAGGAGCAAGAACAATAGCAGAAGCCTTAATTAGATCTAAAGATTCCTCATCGCGCACATAGGCTTGGGTTGAAATCAATTCGGGGTGTGTTGGTCGAATTAGGAGCAAGAACAATAGCAGAAGCCTTAATTAGATCTAAAGATTCCTCATCGCGCACATAGGCTTGGGTTGAAATCAATTCGGGGTTTGAAGTGTTAATTGGCACAATTGGATGATTGCCTATGGCTTTCCCATCACTAATTGAAGATTTGGCGTTCGAATTGATAATTTGGAGCAACATAGGACCAACAAAATCCTTAGTCCCGAAATTCTCGCATACGGCTCTAATTGCAGCCACTAATTCATTGATTTTTGGAGGAAATTGGGCTTGACCCATGACTGTACAGGGTGCGCCTGGTGGAGAGAGAGCTAACCCATGTGGTTCGCCAACCTGGGTCGAACGGACGGTGCCGGGATTAGCCATTTTCGGACCCTGGTTCGTAGCCTGCGAGATCGCGAGTTACTGTTGTTCTGGAATTAATTCCGGTTGTTGATGGGTTGTTTGGGGTCTATTAGTCCATTGTTGGAGTCGGCATTGAGAGGGCAATCGACCTGTATTGGGTTACGGTCAATGTGCTGACCGGAAGTGGTGGTTCTGGCAGTTTTAGGCAGCGAATTGTGTTGAGCGATTCCGGCTGAATCCAATGGTTTTATGGGAAGATGAGTGATCGGAATTGAAGAAGAGGTTAAGGGCTTTCCGATTGTACGAGTGTCCAGCAGCCTTGGTGGCCGGAAGTCGCCGGAAATTTGCTCCATAGCGGTGGCCGGAAGTCACTTTTTTTCTCACTGTTCAAACTTTGAAAAGAGAACGATGAGATTCGCGGTTTTAATTGTGAGATTAGGATGCCAGGATAAAATTGGATTAGTTTATTTGATCCTCATGTGAAATTTGGTGCAATTCAAAATGCTAGATAGAGTCCTACCTACGATGAAAAACAAATTAGATTAGTACTAGATTTTCATGTGAAATTTTGGTGCAACGAAAATTGGTGAGAATCCTACTTTCAAAAGGTACTTTCCAAAACACACCGTCCAGATTGAAATAAATTTTCTTCCATTAGTACAAGTTATAGAGAATACATGTACCTTCATTCAAAGGGAAAAAGTTTGGAAAAGAAGTTGATTCGACGCAGTCACTACACTATAAGCGAGAACTAAGGTAGGATCCCTACGCGAAGTTATCGTTACATGAATTTAATTTTCAAATTAGCATGTTATTCGTTATATTTGCATAAAGTATATAAAGTGCCTTTAGAGATTTCCCTTAAATTTTGACGAAAGAAAGGTTTATATATGTTTAAACTAATGACTATAGAGGTTCATCAGAACTTTAAGTATATATGTTAAACTGATGGTCACAGAGGCTCATAAGAACCTTAGGTATATCGTTTGATCATCGATTTACTTATTTATAAAGGCAACATATAAGAATGTATGATTAAATATATGAATACTAAGTTTATGTAGCACGTGTAGTCTGTTGAGTATTTCTTTGAGATGCTCACTCTTATTTAACCATTTTCAGAGTAATCAGAGATCTGGCAACGGTTTGGCACGAATGACACGTTTTATTTTTAGAGAAATTTATTTTTATCTTTCAGATTGCCACTTTCAAGTTTAATAATCATTGGTGTCTCAGAGATTGTAGTTTGAATTCATGTTTTGGGACAAAAAGGTATATTTGGGATATTTTAAATTGATATTTCTTGAAAGCTTGAAGACTGAATTGATGTTGAAATTGCTTAATATTTTTTTATGGTGGTAATTCAGTTCATTGAGTCCCACTAATGAAAACTAAATATTTCCAATTTCTGCCAAATTTAAAAATACACCCAAACTTAAATACTTGGAATTTTGAAATGATTCTAGTTGGAAAAAATAGTCATATGAGTTATCTATCTCTCAGATTCAAAATCATGAATTTTGGATCTATAAAACTCAAGTTATGAACATTTTCTCGAGAGCAGTTAGATTTTACTACGGAACAGATAGCTACGGTTTAGAAACAATTTTGACCAATCTATTGATTGAATTTATATTAGAAGTTTTAACCTGCAATT